TATCTGCTTTTTAACAAATGCTTGAATTAGTTTCTGTTGTCTACTTTAGAAAATAAGCTTAGAGCACAGCCACTATGCAAGTTAATTGTGTTGGTTTAAAATATATTTGAGGGCTGGGTAAAGTGGTAAAGCACTAGCCTAGAATGTTCAAGGCCCTTGTGTTCAATGTCTAGCATCACAGAAAACAAACAAGCAAACAAAAAAATATATATACATATATATATACATACAAACAAGCAAACAAAAATATATATACATATATATATATATATACATATATATTTGAGATAGAATTTAGTTAAATAATTATAAAAACTTGATGATGTAAGTTTGCACAAAATAACTTCAGTAGCAAGGCCAAGCAAGAATATTGATTTTTCAATAAAGTCTTGAATTTATTTGGTCAAATTCAAACACTTGCTGAATGGAATTTTTAGTTTTCAAAGAGCACTAATATTCAGCCTCTTGGTGAAATATTAATAATTTGAAGAATTAGGAAAAAATGAGAGAAAAGCAGAGGATCACGGGAAGCAAGGAACTTACATATACACTTTTTATAGGCAAAGGGAATTCAAGTCCTCTGATGGCCAGTTCAATTCCCTATCTGCATCAGCTAAAAATACCAAAAATAAAGTCTAAATACCTAAAAATAAATGTCTATGATTGTGTCTCTAGAAAGTACCTCCCTCAAAATTCACAGCTTAATTATAACTTCTTAAATGATCAGCTCTTCTCTTTCTTTTTCTTTATGGTTCTATATCACTAGATTTGGAAGAAATCAAAACACGTGTAAACATCTGTCCAGAGCAAACACAGTGAGTTTCCTGGAACCTCACATTAGAGCCATCAGTGGGGAGAGGAAAGCTAGGATGATAATATTATGTTTATTTTAGCCCTCTGCTTACTTTTTGTTTCCAGGCACTGAACTGAACGTAGTTTCCAGAGCCAGAAATTATTATTGTTTATGTATCTGAACTTATTAATATTCTGCTTTTAGAAATCTTTAAGGTACAATAGATTCCAGGAGTATTTTAGGAACTTCTAAGTGGTGAAATTTAAATTGTAGTTCAGTGGAAAGCCAGCTAACACAAGTGCCAAAGAACAATTGGTAAAATGGTCTTTTGGAGGATGTAAGAATCTTCTGGCACAAAGCACAGTGTAGGTGCTTGCTAAAGTTAGTCCAATGAATGAATGAAAAGTACCTCAGTCCCCAGATCTGTCCCCTGATGCACACTGTTCACAGATTCAGAGTGGTGGCTGTGCCACCATTAAAACAGTGGTTTGTTTTAATGGTTTGTGGTTTTTGTGAAATTTGTAGTAGAAGGAGAAAAAGGATGGAGAAGCAGATACTCCAAAAACTATTTAACTTGGCGCTATGCCATAGCAAACAGTCTTGCCCTCTCCAAGTAAGGCTTGCCCCGTGCTCCACTGAGCAAAGGAAGTTATTGGTTTGGGAAAGTAGTTCACATGCTTTGGGACAGTTGTGCTACCTCCTCTGGTCACATCTCTGTGATCCCTGCAGTTCACAGTCTCTGCTGGAAGGGCAGGCCTAAGTGACCCTGAACCCACCTTGCATCCCCTTTGCCCCAGTCTGATTAGGCCAGGGGTAGACTCCTGGATAGCAACATCAGATTCTGTCTCATGATTTTGATTCAAGTTACAGATTACAAGTTACAATCAGTGGTTGTGGACCACAGCTGAGAGCCTGCGTTCAGTTAGGGACAAGGTTGGCATCTGTGAAAACCCAAGTCCCATACAGCCAAACCCACTGGAGAGCAAAGTTATCATCAGAGGAAGCCAAAAATCTATGGGGAGAAGAAATGAGACATACTTTTAAAAAGTATGAGTCCCTGGATTTGATACCCAGCACTGAAGGGGAAAAAAAAAAAAAAGATCAGAATCAAAGAGAAAGAGTCAAAAACAAAAGAAAGAATAACAGAGAGAACCAAGACCAACCGGCCTGAAAAATCTAGCTTTCTATTTCCTAGCACTGGTCCTCTGAATCTAGTTGGACTTTGTTTCCTGCTCATGGATGTCTATAAAATCGCATCTTTATCTTTACAGAGAATTCATCATTTAATTTCAGTTCATTGGAGTGAGACTTGATTCCTAGCAACCAACAACCTCTGTTGAAGGGACTTATCCCCCTCCTTGGGCACCCGGTACTTTGGTTCAACACTTCTCTCTGCTGTAAGGAAAGAAAGGCTCTGAAAAACACTCACTATCAAATACTTAGTTTGCTGACTCTTCGTGTAGCATCTTGGAAGAGCATAATGACGAGAAGGCCACACGAGACACAAAGGAATAATAAGAATTCATGATGCTATGCTTTGGCCTCAGCTGGGATGTATTGTAGGAGGAGCACCGAACACCTCCTGTTGTCACAGTAGCCAACAACACACACACTGCCTGAAAAGGCTACTTACTATCACACTTATACATTCCCCCCACGTCCCACACACCATCTACTACACCACCTCTTCTATCAAAACATAAATGACTTGAAAACAAAGGTGACATCCCCATATTATATGCTGAGCACCTCCATTCGGTGTCTAAGAGTTATGATGTTCTTTTGGATGGATGCATATCCTACGTATAATCTGATCTGAATATTCCGAGAACTTTAGGCCTGATGTGCAGAAACCCTTCTTTCCCTTTTTACCATTCCTTCTGGACTCCATCCACCTTTGAACTTACATGAGCTCTGCTAGAATTGTTTGAAGCCCATGAGGAAGATAAGAAATCATTATTAGCTTTTACTTAGCCCAGTGGGAAGGGAACCGGATTAGAGTTGGCCCAGTCACATCTATAAAGTGGTGGTTAAGGGAGTCACTATCTTTCTGCACCAGCACACCCTCCTATTCTATCTGTGCACTCCCAAACCAGGGTGCAGGATTCATCCCATGCCAATCACAAAGCTGCCTTTGCTATGGAGACCCAGCAGGCACACAGCCCAGGGCCACCAGGGCAGGACTGGGTGTGGGAGCCCAGATTGCCAAAGGCCCATGTGGTACAGTGTCCAACTATTCACTGGGAAGAGGCCATTCTCACAGACTCAATCTAAGGCTAATGAGGAAAGTAAAGGAACTTGGGACTATTCATAAATACTGTTTTAGAAAAATGATTTTCATTCATAAAGGAATGCTTTTTCTGACAGACTATCATTAACATCTTCTTTCCCTTTTCTTTATCATCAAAGACAAGAGTAATATTCAGAACACTGAAAAGTCATACACAGAAATAAAAGAAAATGATGTTTTGGCATGCTCGGTTCTCTACCATCTTATGTTCTTGTCTTTTCTGGTACAATAGTAGGATTTATTTGCTAAACATTCCAATTTTGCAGAGTGAATCACTGTTAAGGTAGAACCAAGCTGAATCATTCATCCTTCTGTCAATCAATTCCTTGTTTTCATTTTTCTTCGGTGCATTTATCATTGTACTAGAAAAGGTATTAGGAATCCTTCTATTTCAAGCACTTCTTCCTTTCATTTATTTGGTTTAGTTCACAAGTAGTACAGTAAAGCTATCCTGAACCTGTGTTGGTTCATATTCCTATTTAAAATGTTGGTTTAGAAATTTGAATCAGGCACAATTTTCAATATATCAGATCTAGTACCTTTTATATGGGAGGCAAGTGTTATCTGGAAAGGTAGGATGGAAAGGTCTTTTCTCACCTGGAGAAAGATCAATGACTATAGATTCTGATGATACACCTATGTCTTCACTTGTTTAAGTAAGGTTTGTTTTGTTTGAATATGAAGAATCCAGCTTACTCTGTCCCAACTTGAGTTCATTGTGATATGCTATTTTTAAGGCTCATCTTTTATTATTTATACCAGATACTTTCAAGAAAAAGAAGTATTAACAGTAAGGAACAAAATATTACTTGGAACCAAACTGTGATTTTGGGTGGGGGTCAGAGTATGGGAAGGAACGCTTGTCCAAAAGTCACAGAAGCTGAACACTGGTCACTGACAGTGTTTGGCTCACCATGAGGTGAATGGCTGCCACTCATTAGGTTTTTTTTTGTGCTCCATCATCCCCCTCAATAAAATGAGTGCCTGATATCTCATTCTAAGACTCATTTACTGACCCATTTCTCATTGTTCATCATCGGACTCAAAACTTTTAACAAAATCTTCCCAAGTATTATGCATTTAACAATCCACTGTTCAGGATCCATTATATTTTCAATGCATAATCATCATTAGCCCTTTGAATCTTTCCTATTTTAACTAAATCGATGGAGAAAACTATGAATCAAAGGCAAAATTTGAATTTACTATGTATTATTTCTGAGAGAAGAACTTGGAGATATAATTTGTCATAGATAGTAGCTTCTCTCTAAAGCCCAGTGATCAAGAAAGTAAATTCAAGTTATCCTTTGAATACATCCCTGGTTGCAGATTCATAGGCTACCTGCTTGTTAAAACACATGGTGTGGGGCTGGGGTTGTGGCTCAGTGATAGAGCACTTGCCTAGCACCTGTGAGGCATTAGGTTTGATGTCGAGGAGCACCACATAAAAATAAAATAAAGCTATCATGTCCATCTATAATTTTAAAAATATTAAAGAAAAATACATGGTGCATCAAAATAACATTTCAGCATCATTAGCTTTTCAGTACTCAAAATCATTTCAGTGCTTGGGAAAATCTGGTGAGCATGCTTACATGTGAGCATTTGATAGGATGTATCAAAAATGTATGTATACTATACTAAAGGATTTCTGGCATGCTTTGCCATTTTTTAGTTCAGTTTCACATCATGTCTTTTTCTATAATAATAACAATAATGGGTGAAAGGATAATAGATTACATAGCCATTCCCTCACCACCCCCACCCCAGATTATGTCACAATCTTCCAATCAAGGTGTTGCCAGTTTGTAAAGAGGCTTCATGACATCAGGAGGAGAGTCTGGGTGTCCTTGCAGGGTTGGTGCTTTACAGCATTAGGCTGAACCAGGATGATGCCATTATGGGGTCAGAAATAATGGATTACTGTCAGTTTCATGTGGCTCAAGCTATTTTGGGTTTGCTTTTCAGTCCTTAAAATCTTTTGTGCATCAGGTCCATTACCTAACTAACTGCTGAGCCTTGGTTTGTGACAGGAACGCAACATGTACTTTGCAGAGTTGCCACAAGGCTTAGCTATGACATGTAAAAGTATTCTGTTCGGAAATCCTAAATGTTCTGGAAATAGTTAATAATAGAAGGTTATTGTCCATATAAATAAGTTAGAGGATTTCCTCATTTTCTCCTCCAGCAATACTGCATGTATGGCATGGATGATGGTTGCTATGGGAAAGAGAAATGGAAAATGTTTGTTGGCCCAACATGATTTTTAAAACCCCAATAGCTTTATAGGCTTTCTCCTTCTGTATGCTCTGGTATGTCCTAGTAAGGTCACAGATAAAGTCTGACATACTTGGTGAAGTAACTAAATAGGAAATGTACTGAAACAAACCAAGAACAGAGTTAAAAAAAAAAAAATCAAAGCCCTGAGCAAACATTCTGAACTTTTGGCAGCAGAATTGGGCTGCCCGAATCCCCATGACTCTCTGAGTTATTAATAGTGACTCACTTTGCCATATTTTGAGCAGATATATATTTATAGGTTATACAGTGTCTGTGTGTAGAGACTTGCAACATTTGATGGCCTTCTTGAAAAGTGTGTTGTCCCGGGAGAGAGTGGGACCAGGGTGCCGTCTTGTCATCTGGGTAGCACCTAGCTCGTTAAATGCTACGGGGAAAGATGGGTGCTGCAGCAAAGCCTGGAACACGGCTCCCATCTGCTCTGCCAGAAGCACGATGAACTCAGGAGTTGCACAACAGTAGTAATTCGCAGCTATTTATGACCATTTTCATAGCGAAAGGTCTAGATTAGAAGGCTGTGTTTACATGCCAAGCAGCAAAAACGGTTCCATGAATCATCCCACAGTAACTTTTGGTCAAACCAATCAACCGAGTAATGAAAAACCAAGCAGCTGGTCTAGAAGCTGTGATGAACACACCTCATAGTAGCCTCCACCTTCAGGATGCTCTTCTGAATCTGAGATCAAATGGACTCCCACCCCCACAGGGTGCTGTGCCCATCATTAAGAAAACATATTTTTAGCCCATGTTTATTTTCTCCTGGTCATGGCTCCATTAGGTGACTTCAATTAGTGACCCCATGACTCATTTGCATCAAGACCGGTAAAACCCTTTCATTTGTCCATTTAAACTGACTTGAGGTTTTAGTTAATTACCACTTCCTGTCAGCCTGAAGGTCAGACTATTTCCCTTTGTTTCACTCAGCAGTTAATCCCCTCATTAAGGGCGATGGGAAATGAATAATTAAACATGTGCCATTTTCATAGTTCAGGTAGTGAGAGGCCCTCAGGTCCCAGAGGATGCTCCCAGAGAAAAAGTCAGGAAAGTGTTGAAGACCCTGTCTCCCCCAAACATGCAAGTTTCTATCTGCCTCCACGAAGGCTTTTCCCCTAAATTGAAGCAAAATGAAAACAGCAGTTATGGGGCAGGGCTGTGACCCTCGATAGCTGTGGGACTTGAGGGGAAGAAGCTCACCTTTGACACTAGAGATTTTCTCCATTATATAACGGGAGTGATAATGGGAATTAAAAGAGCTTATGATGGTGGCTGCCACATAGTAGGAGATCAGTGAATGTTAGCTACGTGTGCTGTTCTCATCATCACGTGGGCAGTCACCTTCTGAGTGCTTGTGGGTTTTAGGCCTTAATCCAATACCCACTTGCAGAGTGTTTGGATGTTCACTGGGACAAGGATCAAGGGTAAATTTTGTTAGTTTCTGGAGAAAGAACAGAGGTAGCCACGTCTCTAGGGTGATAAGGAATTTAACTCCTACCAGATTAGGGCTGGGGATATAGCTCAGTTGGTAGAATGTTAGCCTTGCACGTATAAGGCCCTGGGTTCTAATCCCCAGCACCACAAAAAAAAAAAAAAATGACCATTAACTTCAATCAAAGCACTGGAAAAATTTCTACCAAACTTCTGCTAGTTACTCTAACAGGGTATTTTGTATTTTTGAGGGTGGAGGCCTATAGGCAGAAGAAAGACAGTAGATGGGATCCAGAAGGAAGGGGAAGCCACCCATAGAAGCTTCCACTGGTGCAATCCAAATTCCTGACATAGAAGCCAGGTCCCACTACCTCAGCCCTCCCACTGCTTCTCCATTTCAGGAGGTCCCCCAGGGCCCAGCCAAAAGTAGATTGAGGAAGTCCTGGCCCCATCAAGAAATGCCTCTGAGTCTACCTTGGTCATTTCTTTTGCCAAGTCAGTCAGGGAACTGCACATAGTAGGGATGCCTACCTTCAAGATAGAGTTCAGAGAAAGCTCTATAGAGGAAAGTGGGTCTTAGCTGAGTTTGGAAGGAAGACTAAGACTTGGTTGGCTGTTAAATAGGAGATATTTCAAGTCAGTCAGTTCAAGAGCAGAATGGGAAGGGTCTGGGGTGTTCTTAAAATAGGAAACCTGTGAGACGGAAACAGGCTGCCTGTGGGACTGACATTGGCCAAGGCTGTTGATGAGGGTGGGAAGGTTGGATGAAGCTCTTGGACTTTATCCTGCCGTTGATACAGATGATAGAGGATGGAGGAAGGATTCTAGAGGGAGAGCGTAGTACTGTGCAGGCAGAATTGGTAGGGAGAGGCTTAATGAGAGAAAGATTAGTTCGAGGTCAAGGGCCTGAGATAAAGGGAAGCTGAGAATGAGAAGGAAAATACAATGAATTAGAGCAGCTCTATGATTATTGCAAAGGAGGTGGAAACTATTGCTCATTCCTGAGTCTTAAAATTCATTCTGTCATTGCTTTACCCCAAATAGTCATTCCTAGCTGGATTTTGGGGGGGGGGGGAAATATTTTGCCATTTTAAAAAAGGTTCTAGTAAGAAGTAGCTTTGAAACTGCTCATGGAAGAATAAAAGTCACTGGGGGAGAATGAACAGAGTGTGAATGATTGAAGAGTGAACATGCACGGGAATTGATGCTCAATGTGACAAACACAGTCTCACAGCTACTTCAGTCCCCATCAGTACAGAGGAATCCTTTCTAGATTGTCCCAAAGGGGAGAAAAATATTATAATGATGTAGTTAACAAGTTGTATGAACTTGTAATTGAAAAAAATTATATCAGAAAATTAAACCTGGAGAACTTAAATATTCTTTTATCATTTTATAGAGGAATGACCAGAACAAAACAGTGAAGAAACACCCTGAGTCACCAGCCCATGAATATTGGATCTATTGCCAGAAGGTAAGTGTTTGGACTCTCAATCTAGTGCTCTTTCTGGTTGGCCACAAAAGTCCAGAGAGATCATTTCATGGCTGAATAGAAGACTTTGGTGGTTTGCCACAGTCTGGCTGGGCACAAAATCACGAGCCACTCAAACAGGAACAAACTTTATTTTTGAAACTCCCGCCAAGCCCTGTATGCTCCTGGGAAATTTGCCAACCCACACAAGCGGCATTCTCCAGGACACACACACCAACAGGAAATCCCTCCTCCAGAATTCCCTCCTACCGCACTTCCCCAACCAATGGGAACTCTCCAGGAGTCCCATAGCAAGCCGAGGTGGACAGCAGGGGTCTAATATCCATTTGAATGCAGATCTTAACATAAACATATCATCTCAATGGCTTGCTGGCGTCACCTTTCAACCGAAAATGCCATGCATCATTTTTACTTGGCTGTGGCTCTTAGCAGTGATTTGCATTTTCTCCTTTCAAAGTCAAAAATGTTTTGTTAGACGCATTTATGTCATTGCTCCTTACTGCATTATTTTTTCTTGTTTGTAGCATTAAATCACTAAGTGTGAGGTAATTCTTGTGATGAAGATAACTCCATCCAGGGTGTGAGTTGCACACACCTCTAGGCAGCCTCTGGCTTCCTCAGATGCATCCTCTTACCTCTTAGGTGTTCAGGGTAAGGTGAATTCCTGAGAAGCATCAGCAAACACCATCTCGGATCCCGCATGGATAGATGTAGAGCCACCTGCCAGAGTCCACAGGGTCTCTGGGTACCCCTCCCCTAGGTCAGAACCCCTCCTCCATCTTGGAGGGGGCCTCTCCCCAACAGGGCACACATTGACCTCAATTCCTGTTTCTCTGCTTTAGTTCCTCACTTATCCTGAGCAAAAGTTTAAAACAAACAAAAAAGCCTATCCAATCAGAGCAGGATTCTTTTTCCTCCAAACCCTTTTTCTGCCTCTGCCTTTCATACAAATAATGGAGGGTAGGTTAGGGGGAGGAGTAGGAAGAGGACCCAAACATTCTTAGGGGCCTGCTCCCTTGTCTCCAGGCTGTAGCCTTCTCTCTAAGGCACCTTCCCCCCACCCCCGACCTGTATGCTAAGAACTTTCGCTGGAGAAGGTACACCCCAACACCCACCCTAGGTCACTGTAGACTGTTTTTCCACCATGTTAGTGATGTGCCCACACTCCGACACAGGAAACCTTGATCAGGAAAGCTACAGAAACTCATTTGACAGAGGCTCAGACAAAGTGTTCATAAAGCAAGAGCATGTGCATCTGAAAGTCTGTGATTTTTAACATAACCCATAACATACTGAAGCAGGGGGATTGTCATTAGGATGTTGTTCCATTAACAGGGCATTTAAGAGACCTCTCTGGATGTCTCTGGCTTGATGACATTTCATTTTGAAATTGGGTCAAATAGAAATACAGTAATAGGTGGTAAGTGTCTTAGACTCAGTGTTGAAGTTTGAACATTGGAGAAACATGCCAAGGCAAGCATATAAAGCAGGGGTAACACAGACTTCTCCCAGGAGGGAGAAGGGGGCCCATAGCTGGTATCCTGGTATCCCAAGAAGTGAGGTGTTCTGCCCTGTTTATGTGTCCTCGGCTTCCTTTGTTCTCCTGCCCTCTTCCTCTATCTTTCTCCTTCCTGTGTGTGTGACTAGGCCCAGGAATGCTAGATGGGATGGGCCAAAAAGGTGGGAAACAGGTGGGCTGAAGGGGGAAGGACAGGATGGAGCAGCTCAGAACACATTACTTAACAACCTTATAGCTCCCCGTAGGGAGGGGCAATTCCTGAGACTGACCTTAGGGCTGCTCTCTGTTAGTTCCCTCCCTGGGCCAAGGAGAAGGGAAGAATAGAGTTTCTTCCTCTCAAGGCAGAGTATGTGCTGCTTCAATCCAATAGACCCGCTTGGGAAGCCAAGAAAATGGTCTTGAATACAAGAAGGTAAATTAAGGTGAACTGTTCATGTTTTTCCTATCTTTCCAGAAGAAGCAAAAGGTACCCTGGGTTAAAGTTAGAGCACTCGGGAGGGCCAGGGCAGAGTGTTTGACACCAGCCTGGGCAGAGAGACCAGATCACAGAAGGTAGTGGAACTGGCAGCAGAAACCCCTTCCTCAACTGAATCTGCAGCTGAAGTGGCACAAGGACCAGCGTGCAGACTGCTGGCAGTGAGCCTGGCAGGGAAGGCGGCAATGCCTCAGGAATGAAAGGAGCCTCAGGATTCAGGCTCAGCCTCTGGAGTCACGGGTTCGCCTCTCACACAGGAGCCTGTTCTGCAGGATCTGTTCAGATCCAATGTTCCCTGGAAGAGAAAATGGGTGGGAAAGTATGTTTTCACTCCCAAAACTTCTCTCACAGAGATGAGACTCCCAATGCAGAAAAATCAGGACTGTGACTGCCAATTGCCGGCTGAGTGTCTTCAGGAAAACCACTTAATCTTTCTGAATCTCCGTTTCCTCATCTGTAAAATAGAGTTAGAGATAATAATTACTTTCTGGGGTCGATTGAGGGCAAAATGACTATTTGAGAAAATGAAAAGCTATTCCGACCCCAGCAAGCACCCAATAAATGGCAGAGAGACACGTCCGGCAGCCCCGCGGTGGAAGGTTGTGATGGAGTAAAGGACTCACTGACCGCCCTGGCCATGAGGAATTCAAGATGGAGTGGATGGATGGATGAGCCTGGCTTTTCTTAGTTTGAGAACACTGAGATCTGGTGCTGAGGTGGGGACTGAGGATAGGACAGAGGACAAAAGGCAACAAGAGCAGCCCAATGCTGCTGAGCTTCTCAGGGGCCAGTTCCAAAACTGCCCATGTACAGACCTAAACATGCAGATTCAACAACCTCAAAGGAAAGGAACAGGGATGGTGAAGAACAGCAGGTCTTTCCTGTGACTTCCTCTCCTGCAATCTTTTGTACCCTGCACATTCCTGATGTCCAGATTCTGTCTGGAAGCTGACACAATTGCCACTGAACATTCCTCACATCTTTGTCCAA